CTGGCCTGGACCCAGCATGAGAACTGAGGTGGTGAAGGGTTTGAGATAAGAAGCATCAGCCCCAACAACCGTGAGCTTGTGGTTCGCTATTTTGAAGAAAAGTTGTTGATTGAGTGCAGAGTTAACGACTCTAAGGAGATTTGTTTCCCCAGTTTTCACCGGAACTACGATTGTATCTGCATCATAATATGATTAGACATTATAGATACTATTTTCTTGTGATTGGTTTTTTCCAAATCTGAAAAATTCGAAGAATAATTTAAAATTGAAACTATTTGTTCAGTATCAACGAACCTTTTTTGGAGCAGTTATAAAGATCACCAGGTTGACCATTGATGGTGTATGCATTGGACACATTTGGAGCAGCTCCTGTTCTTGTGGCTTGCCTCACAACATCAATGGGGTTTGCATCCCACCACTCACCTGATCACCATCACAATTAGTGTCATCCCGAATTTGAATATAAATAAATAAATATATTCCGACCACTTAAATCGTGCTTTTGTTGTCACCTCAACTTATTGGTGTAGACACCAACCTTGAGTAATGAGATTACAAGCGATAAGATATATAACATACCGAGAAGAAGAGGGGTTTCACGATTTGGCTTGGGGAAGGGATATGATTCTCCTAGTCGTGGGCGAATAATCAAGGCTCCATAGACAGTGGCTCTGAGCCATGAGCTATGGGCATGCCACCAAAGTGTTCCTTCCTGTCCTTGAATTGTAAATCTGTAAGTATAACTGTGTCCTGGTCTAATAGGACATTGAGTCACAAATTCTGGTCCATCAGCCCATGAAGTTCTCATTTGTCGAACCCCATGCCTATTATATATATTGGTCAAACAAAAATGCACAATGGGTTAGTCTTTTCTTGAGTATGTGTAAATGTATAAGGCACACTCCTTGTTACAGTACTCAGCTGTTCATACACAATAAAAGGCGTAATATGTGGAAGGCATAACTACATATGTACAAATATATGAAGTTCATAATTTATCATCTCATCTAAACGCAACGTGTCCTTTTAGTGCTAATGATTGACATGATTTTTTCATAAATGAATGATAATGAAACTTATTTACATGATCTTCTGCCAACTTTGATGTCATGCATCTTAAATCAAAATTTCTAGAAGTCTCAATTATTAGAGAAGAATAAAGTGTATATATATATATATAAACTTGCATGCATGTAATTATACCAGTGAATGGTAACGTTGTATCGAGCTCTATTAACGACTTTGACCACTAGAGTGTCACCATTGTTCACTTCCAATGTTGGTCCAGGATACATTCCATTCACTGTAATAGTGTTGTGGGTTTTGCATAGCCTCTTCACTGGTGTTGCTTGAATCTGCAGTTTCACATTACATCAATCATATTAATATCCAATAATTTCGAACTAATTCAAGTCGAACAAAATACTAAGGAAAAAAATTGAAAAGCGAGATGATCAAAGCATACAACAAAGCCATGATAATGAGTTTTTGCACTTGTTTTCNNNNATAATGAGTTTTTGCACTTGTTTTCGGCATTGAGCTCGCGAAGTGCAACAACATGCCTAAAAACATGAAAGTGCAGAAGGGATTGATAATATTTCTCAAGGCCACCATTTCTCTTTAGAATATGTGGTAATAGAAAGAATTGGAAATGAATGCTGAATTGGCTGTGAAAGAATAAGAGACAGAGAAATCCATTTTATACACAAGAATTTTAGAGAGAGAGAGAGAGAGAGAGAGAGAGAGGGGTGGTTCTTGATTAGGTTTAGAGGGATACTTAGTTCAACCCTACATGAGTTGGTGCACCCACTGAACAATTTTGATTTACACTTGCTTCACAAGTCTACTTTCTGATTAGTTTGTTAATAACTGCACGTTGTATCTTATTAAAATTGTGCCTCGTGCATTAGCATACATATATTACTTCATTGGCCAAATTTCTAATTATGAGAAAGTAGTTGAACTTTAAATAAAATTATTTTTATTTAACCATCTCTTTGCTTGCTTTGAAGATACTAACTAATCTCATAATTTATTTTATATTGTCTAGTGCTAAATTGTGTACTCACATTACGAAGGAAAAAAAAAACAGAATTAGCAATAAATTATGTCCTTTGCAAAACTCCTTGTTGACATGTATATTCAGCTATTTTCATTTTCCTCTTTAAATTTTATAAGTGTAGTCCTATACAGTGTTGTGCACCTACGTAATGCTAAAAGAGAAAATATAAAGAAGCATTATCAATAAATTATGTTCATTACAAAATTTATCGTTTTAATAATCCATCGCCTCATAAATATTTATAATCCTTTTATTTTACTTTCTTACTATATTAAAAATATAATAATAATGAAACAATAATTTACTTTTTGAAAAAGCAAAGGGAGTTTCCAGTCACAAGGGAAGAAAATTATCTACGCTAATCCTGTCACAAATACCAGTAGAATAAAATCAGTAAAAATCAACTTCAGTTGGCCACCGAAATTACCAAATTAATTCATAAACTCAAATTATAAAGAACATTTATATATAATAAAACTATTTTAATTATTATATAATCCTATACCAAAATTATATACCTACAAGTAAATAGTATTTGTCAGCAGTCATAGTACAGCCTACGTCATGGAACGAAACAGCATAATTTAGGTTAAATGTGGACTTCCCAGTTGGATGATATCTGATGATAAGACATAAGTAGATAGTGAGAGTCTTGTATGATTATTAATTAATTAATTTATTAGGTGAAAAAATGAAATTAATTATTTTCCTTAAATTGTTTTTTTTTTTGGTCTTACAGCAGCAGCAATTCAGTTAGTAGAAACTGCCAGGACAAGGACAAGTTAATAACTGAATTTGGTAGGCTGTCTTGGAGTTGGAGCAAGCTACGTCAACATTTTCAACATTTTTCTCTCTCTGTGGAACTATTTCACATTTCACAATTCCATGATTTATATTTAGGGTTCGGTAAACTTTTTTTTTGTCAAAACCTTGCGTATAATATTTAGCTTATGTTTGAGCCCATTTTCTTTTCTTTTTCTTTTTCGTTTTCTTTTTCTTTTTTGTTGAAAATGAGCTTTTGTAATAGTAAATTTTTGAAAAATATGTGGTTAAAAAGTATAAGAAAATTTTGAATTTATGCAAAATGTTTTATTGAGAAAATGTGTGATTGAGAATGAATTTGAAATTAAAAAAAAATGAATTTTTTGATAATGAGGATCACACATGTGCTTAATAAATTGGTGCGCTGATAATTATATCACATTTTTTAATCCTCTTATACCATGTTAAATTTTTACATGAGATGATTGACATGGCATCAGGGAAAAAAAATACGTGATTTAATTATCACCGTCGCCAATTTATTAAATATTATACACTTGCAAGGTTTTGACACAAAAAAGGTTAATGAATACAACTTACACGTGAAGGGACGTATCGGAGGTAAATTTTAAAAGAGTGAGTGGGGTTCATACGTAAGGGTCTCCAAGATAGGTGTGACTGCATCCTGTTTTTCACGTTTTGACAATTGTTCTTGGTATTTAAAAGTTAATCTATATCAAGTAAGCCAATAAAAATAATATATATAAATATATAATATGTTTAGGATTCATGGAAAATGATAACAAAAAAGAAATATAATGATCGGAAAAATGCATATCTAAGGTGTATTCTTTATCTCAATTCAAAAGTAAGGTAAATAGTTTGAAAATTCAAAAATCAGGTATGAAT